AATTTCTTCTCACATGCTATCTATAAATAAAAATAAAAACTTTTATTTTAACCCAACCTTTAAAATATAAAAATATACAAGGTGTTTTTGGTTAATCAAATACTGGTTTGAAAAAAAAAACACTCGCTAAGTGTTTTAAATGCAGTATTAATCCACAAATTAGTTTTTGTTACTAACCATTAGTACATCATATAACTTATTTTAAAATTCAACAAAAGTTTTTTTTTGTTAATTCAATTACAATAAAAATAATTGTGTTTTAGAATAGCTGACTTCATAAAAAAAAAGTAAAGGTGAAAAATTTTTCTAAATACACACCATTGTATTGTACCATGGACAATTTTTTCTCACTAAAGGAAGCTATTTTTCATTTAAAAACAACCTACGAGTACTAAATTTCAAGTAAATACGTTTATTGGTTTTAAAGTTATTGTTGATATTAACTAAAAGAATTTAATTTTTTTTTAATTTTAACACCCTGTATCTCGAAAAGTAAATAAGTTTGATACGCTCATTAACTATATCGTTTTGTTCAATTTTTCGAGAAGTATCTACAGTCAAACATTGTAAGTGTCATTTGGAAACACCCTGTATGTATGAAATATTAGATATTTAATAGAAAATATTAGATACTTACAATTTTGCCACAGACTGAACAGTAGATTTTTCCCATATCCATAGGCAGCTCTTTATAAGGTTTAATCCAAGTTGAAGCACTGGTTGTTTTAGGCATTATAAAATCACAATCTTCCTTTTTGTTAGGCACAACGAGTGTTTACGCTTTGAATATCAAAACAAAAATGATTTACAAATCTGAGCATCAAATTAGAAATGTTTAGGTACCTAATTCAATAAACTGGGAGATTTTGGAAAATCCCTAAATTAGGAACAAAACTATTAGCCGTTTACCTGCTGTTAAGATACAATAAATTGTAGATAGATTTGGGGATTAGATCATAAAATGCAAATGAGCGAACCCTTAGCGATTATCCAATAACTGATTGCATCAGTGACCGAGACTTTCTAAGAATGTTGAGGGCTACTTAAATTGATCTTCTTTGAAATTGTAAATGTTTTGTACCTGTAGAGATTACGTACTTAGATCATTTCTTGATTAAAATGACTACAAAATTTTATACAAGAATTGAAATAAATTGGTATGTTTAAAAATTTTCAAATACAGTATAAAAATCTGAACTTTTATGCACTTTATGCAAACTTTTATACAAATATGCCAAAATATGAAATATTTGCATAAAATATGCACAATATGCAAAATATGCAATATGCATATTTGCCGAAGTCTAGTTATAATATATTCCTTAAGAAAGCATATATACATAAGTACAGATTATTTCTCTCAGACAAATGCATAGCGATATACCTAAAACGAAATAGACGAATAATTAATAGAAGAACATGTCTGACTAATAATTAGAAATAAGTACTTACGGTTGCTTTACATTAATATACCTATTTCTGTATTGTTTGTTTTCCTGTTTTACGAGACGTGCCATTAATCGGCCCGGCCTTGTGATTACTTCGTAGGATGATGTATTTTTAAATGATATGTCTATATCAAGAAATACATTCATCACCTCTTTGGTTTTCCACCCTCTGTACGAGATAATACAGTGCAGTTTTTGTAGAGAATCCTGCTCTATACGTATATTGTCTATTAACTTTTATAGACTTTTAATCAGAACCCTATTTCCAATCATCACTAATGTGTCTATTAAGTATTTTTTGAAATATGAATTGATTTTGACTTATTTTTACGTTACAATAAATGTTAAATTTTTAGATATATCGTTTTAACAAGTAAGCATCATGAGGGGTATTGTTTATGGCCATCAAAATATTCGTACAGTTGGAATGCTCTAGATGTTGGACCAGGAAGGGATGTTGTTGGTACGTATTTTATTTTAACATTATTTATAGATCATACTTAAAAACATATTGTTAAGACGGTTCTAGAATATATAAATATATAAAAAATATTTTTTTAAGAAAATATTTTCTAAAATTAACAATAATGACACTTTTATAAGGAATACACAGGAACAGGAAATAAAAAAATAGAATGAAGTAAACACTTCTGTGTTACTATTACTAAAATAGTTAAAATATCCAAAATGATTACAATTTTCATCAGAATGTTTTCGATCTTATTAGACCATTATCATAAGACAAAATCGATGAAAGTTGTAATTCTTATGGATATTTTAATAAATTGTTTTATTATTGTTTTAAATATATCATTTACATCAGAAAAGTTTACTAAAACGTAAGTTTTTTTTAAACTACAGTATGTAACCAATCACTGAGATATTATACGATTTTTAAATAAACTATCAGAAATTAAATTTAATCGAAATCACATTTTACTAAGTTTAGATTCAGCTAATTAATAATACTTATAAACAAAATTTTGGTCTAAAAAAAATCAAAGGATAATAAAGATATTATGTAGATGATGTGTTCTCTATATGTGTTATTGAACACATTCCTTAGTCTAGGAAGTCCTGGAAGAGAAATAAAGAAAAAACATCAAGCTGTGTATGGATGAAAACATCAGTTAGTCGACACTTACTCAATCCTTATCGAGAGCCGCATAGGAGAAAAATATTTGTCAGAATTTTGCCGAATTTCAGAAATTAAGAGAGTATTCTAAGAAGAAGAGTGTTAATATCAAACAGGTATAACATAACAACCTTATAAACAAAATTATTGAAACTAGGCATTAGACACAGAATGATTTTAATCATCATGATCAAAATCTACATCTAATTACAAGAAAGGTAGAAGTTAAAAATAGAAAAGTCTTTCACTTAATGCAAAATATAAAGGTATTAACCTAAAACGTTTTTTTTTGGGTGCACTCTTCTAACAAAGGTTAGCAATGAGTTCTAGAAATTCTTCTCTATCTGGCATTATTCTTGTTAGTGACTGGAAGTCTAAGCCAATCCATTCTGTGATATTTTGATATTGCTTAGCCATGTCAATTGCCGCATAGCATGATCACGCTTGCACTTAATCTTGTCTTTCATTATCAGTTATACGAAGTTATATCCATCGTGCCTAAGTATGTGGCCAAGATAATTTGTTTTTCGCTTTTTCACCATGTCTAGCAATTCTCGATCAATGTTCATCTGTTCTCTTGTTTGTTTCTGACTTGGATTATCTAAGGAATCTTCAGCATGACGCGAAGTATCTACATCTCAAAGCTTTTCATTTTTCTGATTGTGCTAACTTTTCCACGCTTTCATGCCATATAGCAGGATGCTATATACACAAAATTTGCAGAGACATTTGCAAACCATTTAAGAATTTTTTTTCATTCTTAATGAAACAACAGACCCCAACCGCGAGAAAACAATAAACCAAGTACTTGAAGAATAATACCAGCTAGAATTACCAGAAAAAAAGAATAAAAAAAGTGAAACAAAAACCACAATTAAATTCAATACCAATCCCAAAAAGCCACAGGGTACGACCCCATCACAGAACAAATACTACAAGAGCTTCCGGAAAAAGGATATACAAATCTAACACAATTATTCAGTTTAATCATGAAAATCAGCTAGTTCCCATCACAATGGAAAGTAGCTGAAATAACACCCATTTTAAAATAAAGTAAACTACGTGAAAGGATGGAATCATTCCGACTCTTACTCTACTAGCAGTGCTCTGCAAAGTGTTCGAAAAACTTTTACTAACAAGACTAACCCCTCTTCTAGGAGGCAAGGGAATAATTTCAACTTATCAAGTTGGATTCAGGCAGAAATATTTCACCGTTCAGCAAGTACATCGAATCGTTAACAGAATTCATAAAGACCTATAGGCATCCAGATATTGTTCCGCCCTGTTCATAGGCATACAACGTTTAACAAGGTATGGCACCAGAGGTTGCTCTACAAGCTGAAAAGTTGTTTACCTCTAAACTATTACACACTACTAAAGTCATACCTTGCAACTAAAGGTTTTAGAGTAAAATATGACATGAAATATTAGAACTCCAACCCATAACAGCGGGAAATCTACAGGGAAGCATATTGGTGCTATCCTATATCTACTTTACACTAACGACCTGTCAACATCACCTGCCACAACAACGGCTACAGTTGCAGATAATACGGAGATCTTATGCTATAATAAGTTGCTCCTTATAACCCGTAGATGAATATGTTCACCTGTATGTATTAATCGCAAGCAAATACATCAGAAAGATGATGTAAAATACCTTGGGATTAACCTGAATAGAAAACTTACAAAATACACAAATTTTTCAAAAGAAAACAACTGGGTCATAAAATGAGAGACATAAACTGACTAATAGGAAAACAATCCCAGTTAACAACTTAAAATAAATGACTCCTATACAAAGCGGTATTAAAGTAAGTATGGACCTATGGGATAGAACTGTTGGGAACAGCGGCAAATTATAATATATAAATTATACAAATAACAACTTAATCTTCCGGGTTAAACCGCGTCGATTATCATTGCGCCGCAGTTGCATTACTGCAGTAAAGTATTGGTTAGTGATTAGTGTAGTAGTGTCTGGGGCTCGGGAGACTGAGACCTCGGAAGTTCTGAAGAAGACATCAAAGAGGATGTCGAAAGCTTGGCGCAATGATAATCAACGCGGTTCAACCCGGAAGACAGTTGAGTTTAAGATCACGAGGAATATCTCCAACAAGATGGATCGACCAAATTACAATATTATGCAAAAGACCTATGCATGAGTTAAAAAAAATGATCAGAGACAAAGATCTTTGGAGACGGACAATAAACGATATCACGATGACCACCACACTCCCCGCGGAGGGTCAGGACTACAGAGAGAGATTTAATACGTGTAATATGATTTTGCAAACAGAAGTGAATAATGTAATTACTCATTTTGTCAGTTGCCGTAATTAGTTTGTATAAAGCATTAAATAAAAACACCCTACAAACAAACACGAATCAAATTTAAACAATTTATTTAATTCCAGGTGAACTTGCAACAGCTGTAAGGGCTAAGGATTTAAAATTCGGTTTGTACCATTCCTACTATGAATGGTTTAATGAACTGTATCTAGCTGACAAAGCCAATGGTTTTCAAACAACAGACTTTGTAGACCGCAAGGTAAGTATTGCAAAATATATCAAAAATCAAACACGCTGACTACCTTTTTTTCTTACAAGGAAGTATATATACTAAATTTTTTCCTTTCTTGCGATCGCAATAACGTAAATGCTTATGACCGAAGCATAGACTAAACTGTATCACCAGAACTACAGTCATAAGTAGAATATGAAATTTTCGGTATAAATGCGAAAATTCTTCAAAATTTGAACACTAAATGAAGATAATAGCTGGAGACAATCTTCGTGGAAATACCGAAGAAACATAATGCCAGTCACTGTAAAGACTTGCTCAATCAGCTTAATGAGCCATGTATTAAGTAATAGGTAATACATAAACGAATCTATAACAAAATGTAAAAAAAATAGAAGACATTTAATTTTGTTTCAAAAATAGCTAAGGACTACGAGGTGGTATCTTTTTACATGAAGCTTCTCAGTAAAAAGATATTATGATTAAGCGAAAATATGTCTTCATTTGCTTGGTCTAAATGTCAAAGATATGACAATGACACAACAGCTGTGTTAAAATAAAAAACATTACTAAATATGGTCTTTTTATAGAACAAATCAAAATAAGCAAAGGTTTAAGACGTGGTTGATTGGTCTTCCATCTTTAGTTAAACATTGTGTACATTGTGTAGAAAATGTATTTTAGTTTGCACTATAAAACCAAAGGGTCTCAAAATCAATAGACCTAATAAATACACACAGTCCTATAATTAAAAAAACTTTGACGTGTTCATTCTCAATCTGCCATCGGAATTTTCCTAGTAAATTTTTCACAAATCGCCATCTAACTGTTGTAAGAAAAGACACGTTTGCTATAGTATGCTTAATAGATGAAAATATTAAGACGAAGAAAAAAAATTAAAAAATCATTAGTTACAAGTTAAAAACTGAGTCTGTTTTAATTCTCTACAACCATAAGACAAATTAGTATAATGTTACTTGCCATTAAGACAATAGGATCTTCGTTTTTCTTTAGTTTCTAGATGTAGATTTATCTGAATGTAGATTCATCTTCATTATCGAGGTTTGTACTGCTCCAAAAGGCAGGAGAAAAGTGTCTCTCCATCTGTCTCCTTCCGAGCATAGGTAAGCTGTATGAAAGGATGCTGCGTGTACGTATAGGCGACATTATTGAGCGGTCAGCTGGTTTATATCCGAGGCAATTTGGTTTTTGTAAATGGAAAAGAACGATTGATGCAATCGTGAGTGTACTCGAAGTATTGCGCACCACCCATCGCTGGGTGGCTTGCTGTTGTTAGATATTAAGGAATGGATTCAATACGCTGCCGTGGAACGAGGTAATGAAGGCAATGGAGGAGAAAAAAAAGGAACTGGTTACATTTTCTTGAAGAATGTGGTGACGGAGTATCTGTTCGAGAGAAGGATTATGGTAGAGATAGGAACGATCATCGACGGAACGACCAGGGTCCCCCAGGGATCTGTCTTGGACTCGACGCTATGGAACCTGGCAATTGACGGAGTTATGAACTAGAAATACGGAGAGGTAGTGGCGCAGGATAACCAGATCTCAGATACTGGAACACGGGCGGCGTCGTAAAGAAATGGATGACGCAGCACGGACTGAAACTTGCGGTAGAGAAAACCGAAGTCATCATTCTGAAGGGGAAAAAGAACAGACTAAGTGTGGAATACAATGTTCGGTGGCATGTCTAACACCCAAGAAAGGTGCCTAGAAGTGATGTTGAACTAGAATAGAAAATGGGGGAGCACGTGCCGGAGGTGGCTCTGAAAGCTGCAAATAGTGCTGCCGCGTTAGAGAGGAACCAACGAAGGACCTAAATCCGAAAGGAGGAGGGACTTACACGGTGTTGTACAGTCGATTGTCCTCTACGCGGCACCTACAGGAGTGGGGCCTACATAAGGCTCATGACACGAGTGAACAGAACAAGTTTGTTGCGAGTGGCATGTCTCTACAGGACTGTGTCTACCGCAGCCTTGTGGACCATCACTATATGTGTTTCGTTGCATATTTTGGCAGTGGAAATAAAAGAGCTCTATAAGAGAAGAGAGCCAAATCTTACTCTGGCCGCGAGAAAACATGGAAGGAAAAGGTCAATTAATAGATGACACGAAAAATTGAACAACACGGTGGATGTGGCACAGTGGACAAAGATGCTGATCCCGAACATAAAAAATTGGGTAGACTATGGGCACAGGTGACTGGACTATTTCCTAACGCAGGTGCTCACAGGACACGGGTTTTTTAGGGCTACCTCTCTAGGTTCATAAAGGCTGACACAGATGAATTCTTATACTGCGGATACTCGAGCACTGTGACACATACGATGCTAGAGTGCAACAGATGGATATCAGAAAGGAACAAAATTGAAAGAGAGACAGGTCTGAATTTTGTTCTTCTTCTTCAGGTGCTATCTCCGCTACAGAGGTTCATCATAGCTATTTTAATTTTTGGGGCAGTAGCTCTAAATAATTGTGAGCTGCATTCAAACCATTCTCTCAGGTTCTTAAGCCATATAATTTGTCTTCTTCCGATGCTTTTTCTACCATCTATCTTTCCTTGCATTATGAGTCACAGGATGCCAAACTTCTCGCCCCTTTTTAATGAATTTCGTTACAGTGAGAGAAATGATTGAGAGAATTATTGAAAATAAAGTAGGTTGGACTAATGTACACAACTCTGTCGGTGCAGTAATCAAGAAAAAAGAAGAGGAAGAAAGATAGCTGGACCAACGGCAAAGGTAAGCGGGAAAGATGCTGGAAGTTGAAGGTAGAAAAGTGAGTCAGGATCTCTGGATGACAGAGAAGGGGCTGGTTTAGCGGGTAAGCTTTCGGCGTGGACTCCTTCGAAGACGTCCTTTGAAGATTCCAAATCCCCCTCTATAAAGAAGAAAAAAAGATCCCTCTGGATTACAGTCCTTATTGAGGTTCTAGAGTTTACTGACTCTGGAATATCACTTTATAATGTTGCACCATTAATTTAATATCTTGTTAGAACTTCTGCCCCTCTTCTTCGATGTAATCTCCTAAATTATCGGGGAAATAATCTAGGTGTCAGTGAATAAAATAAAGTTTTACACTCATAAATCAATTTTCATCTTATTACTTCACCGTTTACGTCTTCTTTGTAATTGGGATTATTTTTTGGTTCCCGAGAAACCCGTTAAAATCTTAATTGAGGCTCCTAAATGCATTTTTTTTGGCTTAGTTTCGAAGCATGTTTCATCAGTGTCGATCATTAATTAGCAAATTTAAGAATCCACAAAAATTCCAACTTTTATTTACTCAGAAGTTATATTCTTACCCAAATACTAAAAACATGGTTTAACCTGATTCAACGGTTTTACAAATGAGTATATGTGAAAATACAGCTACAATCTAGCTTGTGTTGAATCTATAAAGAGTTTTCATTCAGTAGGTTTACAGCAAATTCCAAAATATTCCATAACTTATTGAATGTTATTACCGAATATCATTGCATCTCTTTCTTGAATGTAAGGAGCAAGTTCTCTTTTACGATGACGATACCAAGAAAAAGTGACACTGAAAAAGTAGCAAGGAAATTTCTTGGTTTTAATCTAGATCCAAGAACTTCTGCAGCATCCGTTGGGCAATTTAAATGTTTAATTCTTCTTCTTAAAGTGCCCTCTCCTCAATGGAGGTTGGCTACTACAATTTTAAACTCTTTTCTATCTTCAGCTGTTCTTATTAGCTGTTCAAAATTTAGCCCTGTCCATTGTCGGATGTTTCTGAGCCACGATAGTTTTTTCCTTCCTAGGCCTCTCTTTCCCTCGATTTTTCCTTTCACTATAAGTTGGGCATATTGGTACTTACTATTTCTCAGTATGTGGCCTAGGTATGATGTTTTTCTAACTTTTACTGTGTTAAAAAGTTCTCTTTCCTTGGCTATTCTATGCAGCACTTCTTCGTTTGAGGTATGCGATGTCCATGAAATTTTGAGTATTCTCCGGTAGATCCACATTTCAAAGTCCTCCAATTTATTTACGGTTGATGTTTTAAGGGACCACGTTTCAACTGCATATAGAAGAGTCGACCAGACGTAGCTTTTTGATAAACGTAGTCGAATTTCGAGTTTTATTCGAGAATCACAAAGCAGTTTTTTTTATTTTTTCGAACGATTTTCTGGTCTGTTCTATTCTCGATATTATTTCTAGATCAGGATTTAGGCTGCTATCGATCCAACATCCCAGGTACTTAAATCTATTGATCTGTTCTAAAATGTGCCCATTTATTGTGCAAGGTACGTTTTGGTTTTTTCGGATTGACATCACTTTGGTTTTTTTAATGTTTATTTTCATACCAAATTGCTCACAGGTGTTTAATTAATGAATAAGTTAATTCTTCTTGAATATAAAGTTTAGGCTAGCGATCTTCATCAGATTCATATGCCTCATCACATACATTGTTCTCATTATCACTACTCTCATTGCCACTACTTTTATAGGCACAGTTATCACCTTTTAGAACAGTAGGGGGCAGGAACACGTATAATGTCGCTCGCTATGAGCTACTGATCTAATAGTAGAAGGTAAGTTGGAATAAACCATGGACTTTTTGTTCTTAACTGATTAGCCATATATATTAGTCAGAAAAAAGTAACGACCATCCTCATGATTTAATGGTTCTCTTCAGACCATCGGTGTTCCAAAGGACAGAGCTTTCTTTCTACCTGTTAATTATAGTCACAATTTATCGACACAAGTTCGTTCGACAAATAGTATGAGGGGCCAATGTTTTGTCTTGGTCGCCAAGTTTTACTCCAAATTATGAAAAGTACACATTTTCTACAAAATGTTGTCTCTGTTTTACAATCACAAAACTCCCACAGATATATCAATAAACATTAGGGTTATTTACATACGATCTCCAAGATTGATTCATTTTAGAACATACAATAAAAACTGTTTATCGGCTTATACAACACGACAATAGAATTAAAACTGACGCGCTTTCTGTATCTTCAATCTCAACTAAGCTTATCATCAGAGGGTAATACTTCCCGCCATAATTAGCAGGATTGTTAAATGTATACCTATTAACTTTGCTATCGAGTAGGTACTTTATCAATACTTCAAAATATTGTTCTCAAGCTATTTTCTTGTGGCATTGTAAATTAATTACTATTAAACTGGGAATAAGCCACAATTAAAGATAAAAATACGTTTATTGACGTTTCAATTTCCACTTCGGAAATCGTTCTCAAAATACAAACAGTAAATTAAACAAATTTTGTTTTTTGTTACATAGTGAAAAAATTCTTCTAATAATTTAATTTTATCTGACTCATTTATATTGACAATTCAGACATACATTATGCATTTTAAAGTAGACGACTTTAAAATGATATTGCCAATATTATTGAGTTGCGCTCCTGGGACGACTTTACTTATAAGATAGTTCATTCGATTACATGAAATCAACTTTAACCTGAGAATATCCGTTTTAAAGACGAATTACATGCTATGATTTTTTCTGACGGATATTCTCAGGTTAAAGTTGATTTCATGTAATCGAATGAACTATCTTATAAGTAAAGTCGTCCCAGGAGCGCAACTCAATAATATTGGCAATATCATTTTAAAGTCGTCTACTTTAAAATGCATAATGTATGTCTGAATTGTCAATATAAATGAGTCAGATAAAATTAAATTATTAGAAGAATTTTTTCACTATGTAACAAAAAACAAAATTTGTTTAATTTACTGTTTGTATTTTGAGAACGATTTCCGAAGTGGAAATTGAAACGTCAATAAACGTATTTTTATCTTTAATTGTGGCTTATTCCCAGTTTAATAGTAATTAACTTCAAATTACTTAAGTCACAGCAGTTTCGTCACCAGATGATAAAATCTTCGGTCACATTTCTAAATTTAATGTCTATTTATGTAATTTGTGTAGCATAATCTGTACGTGATAGGAAACAAATTTCAAAGGATTTAAATTCCGCTCAAAAATACCCCAAAACCACTTTTTTTCTTACACTTTATCAAAATCTTTGTAGCACCCTGGTATAATAATAATCCAATGGAGGAGAAATACAGACTTCATATCATCATCACAAAAACTAAGTTTAATTTCCTGATTATTTTGTTATTATAGACGGATCCAGAATTAAGAGAAATTGTAAACACTTACAAACCATCCATTGTGTGGTCTGATGGTGATTGGGACGCTCCAGACACTTACTGGAAATCCAAGGAATTCTTGGCATGGCTGTACAACGAAAGTCCAGTTAAAGATGAAGTCGTAGTAAACGATAGATGGGGAGCTGGAACTTCTTGTACCCACGGAGGAGTTTACGCATGTTGGGATAGATTTAACCCAGGTATTTAAGGAATTAAAACTTTCTATTAGAACTATTATTTATTATTTAAACCTAAAAATTCGTCTACCAGCACTTACAAAATTGTTCGACAACTTTTTACAATAATAAATATTGCAAATGTATTTACAATGCTACATTGTATATTATATTGTTGGTTATATTAAAATTACATTGCCTTTAAATTTCAACTGTTCACTATAAGCAGGTTCGCTGGACCTGCGATTTTATTGACAAAAGTATTACGAAAGAATAAGAAATGCCAAATTAACAGCATTTGTTTAGCATGTTTTAAAAAAAATTAAGAACAAACAAAATTTAACAAATTGTCTCCTGTTAAAAATGACATGACTTTTATTTTATTTTTTATTTCTTCGTTCAATACACTAGTAAATATTATTTTCTGGCTCTAAATTTCATACTGTTTTTATTTTCTAGGTACTCTTCAATCACACAAGTGGGAAAATGCAATGACAATCGATTACAGATCTTGGGGATTTAGAAGAAATGCTAAACTGTCTGAGTACATGACCATAGAAGCACTTTTGTACGAGTTGGTTTCTACTGTCAGTTGTGGAGGTATTGGATTTGTTTATCACAAAAATAAAAAAAATAATTAAATAATAATTTTAAGGTAATCTTCTGATGAATATCGGTCCTACAAAAGACGGTGTAATTGCACCTATTTTCCAACAGCGTCTGCAAGAATTGGGTACTTGGTTGTCAATCAACGGAGATTCTATTATAGTACAAGGCCATGGACATCACAAAACGATACCTTGACAAATGGGGTTTGGTTATACCAGGAAAAATTCTGATGTATATGCCATAAATCTGCAATGGCCTAAAGATAATACATTGAATTTGGAATCGGCTGTTGAACTTTTTAGAAATACAAATACTGAGGTATATTTACTTGGCGATGAAAATGGTCAAGCATTAAAGGTAATTGATAAAAATATACGATTATTAATTTCTATGCTTAGATGGTGTTAAGCAATAACGGGTTAAGCCACCGCCATGAAGTTTTGCCTCCATTAATTTTTCTAAAAATACTATATATTGGTTTATTTTGGAATATTGGAATATTTCCTTATAATTTAATAATTGATATATTTCGGGTACTACCGTTATATAAACTGATAATTAGTAATATAAATATATAATTGCATACCTAAAACCACAAGTTTCTTAACACTTTACACTTCCGATAAGGAGGCATCATCATCATCATCATTATCAGTTTCTTCATTTCCCACAGAAATAATAATTAAATTAATTGTTTCCTCTATTAACATATCTAGTTTCTAGAATGTTTCTTTCATTGCTATGACACGTCTTATGGCTTTTTACCAATTGTCAGATGAAATTTTTTATATGGAGTCAGATAATAGTTGATGAACATCTTGGAGTTTAAATGTATTATTCATCGCGACATATCCCTTCATTTGAGCCCAGATTAGTTCTATAGGGTTAGGTTTACAGTGATAAGGTGGTAATCCTAACAGTTTAACTCCATGTTCTTGCATAGCTGCAATAGCTATAGCTGAATAGAGGCAAGTGCAAGAGAAATCATTAGAATACAACAAACTGGCATATCTATGTTTCGTGGACCTTACAAAGGCATTTGACCGGGTCAAATTAAAAGACGTTATGCAATAACTGAGTGCAAGAGAGATACCTCTAGGAATAATCAAAACGATCAAAAATATCTACCAAAACAACACAATAAAAGTAAAAGTACAAGAAGAACTTGTAACGATAATATTTTGCCTACCTCAGGCCCCTCAGGGTAAGAACATGGGGGTCGAAAATTGGGGACATAAACTAAGGGGTTAAGATGGAGCAAACAAAATAATCGATACTTGTGCGTACGGCACTCAGGGGTTTGTTGAAGAGCTGGGTCGTGGATAGGTTTAATCATAGATGTCAGATTGGGGTAACTAAAAAATGAAACAAAGGGATACTTACATAAATCTCCTGGAACAAAACGAACAAAATAAGGACAGACAAGAATTACCTCTAGCTATTTTCTATTCGGGCGCCGCCGCTTCGAGAAGACTTCCTGCTGGGAGAAGGAACTTCTTCTTTCCTAAAATCAAGAATACATGCAAGGGTTAGGTGACTTTTCTAAATTAAAACAAAAAAAAATGAATCAGAGAAATGAATCAAACATTTATTTTTGTCTCAAACAAACAGTTACCAAAAATACAGATGGCACGAAAAATATACTATATACATAGTTGCAAAATACAAAATTAACAATGTCTCCAAAATAGATTATTAAAATTAAAGATATCCTTGTAAATGAAAATACTGTAAAATTTAACCTTTTCTATAAAACATTTTTTCTATATAATCAAATTAAAAATTTTTCACAATAAACAAACAGATTAAAGCTAACTCATATGTCAACACAACATTTTTATACAAAATAAAATTCTGACAGTTTAAACCGCGCCCTATATAGTAGATCTGATATTTGCTCCCATTTTGCAGGCGTAAGTCACTTTCTATATACTGGAAATTGCATATGGTTTGATAAAGTTGAAGTTTATTAATAAAATATTACCATTTTAAGAAAATATTACCTTCTGAAATGTTTTATTTTAACTAATTGCTACTTTATTATATTTTAGTGGTCTTTAAATGATTCCTCAGTGACAATTAACTTCCCGGATAAGGCAAAAGTACTCAGTCAATGGGCGTACGTGTTAAAAATTGTTCCTGGAGCTAGTGTAGAAAATAAGGACAATATAATTTAGAATTTAGTAAAATTTTTAAGATTAATTTTATTATTTTTAAATAAAATACTTTAAAAGTTACAGTTTTATAATTAAGTTTGTGGTATTTTTATTTTCCCATCTTGTACACTGTTTTAATTTGCTTCCTACACTTAAATAATCGAAAGAGAGTTTTTTATAAACTTTCAAATTGCACCTCAAAATATGCGAAGAAGAACACTTTAGTGTCTGTACTAATCCAATTGTTTGTTTACATTGTTAGATGTCTCTACAGATGTAGTTATTTATTGTCTTTCTCTTGATTAGTTTTCTCTGTTTCGTTCACAGTAATGGGTGAAATCCATACTGTGGGCGAACTTAAAAATAATTACTGAGTTATGTAATGTTAATGAGCAATGGTTCAACATAGGGGCGTTTTACTCCACCAATAGAGTCTGGAAACCATTTGCCAGAAATGGCTGGCAGTACTGTTAAAAATAGTATACAGTAAAATCTGAAGTAAATTAAAGTATGTAGTAAACCAGCAAGAAAAATGAAATAAAAAACAAAGATTAAGTTAGTGCAGAATGGTTCACTCTTCGTTGTGGTGAAAGCATAATTCACTGTAAGTTTTTATATACTGCTATAGCAGATTTTCGAGTCCGTCACAGCTTGCATGGACGAGGAGTTCTAAATTAAGTAGTGACTCTTCTGTACTTCACAGAAGACGGACGGGCGAGGGAGTCCTCAACATGGACACGACGCGTCCCACTGGCTGATAGGAAAATGTCCTACAGATATTTAGGATAGGTGTGAATAAGGTTTTACCAAATAAGCACCCGCGGATCAACTGAGGACATGGCATAGCGCAGTAATATGACATTACTTCATTAGGCTATAGCGGAATGATTTCTACTGTTGGCTTAATGACAGATACTCACGGGCGGATATCACATAATGATTTAACCGACCGTGATACTGCGATCAGGCGGGCAAGGGGAAACCACCTGATAATATTCCCGTGACTAGACCATCAAGAATGTATCAAATCAGTTAGATATGATTAGCGATCCGATTAGCGATCCGGGCCAACTAGTCTCAAATGGGCTACCGGGCATGTGTTTGTGAGCAACCAAGCAAGATGTGTCAGCAATCTGTACTGGAATCAAACATCATCTATCCGGACAGAGGCAGGTGAATCCGACGATATCAAAATCAAACGTGGCGTCCGTCAGGGATGTATACTATCACAACTGCTGTTTAACATATACTCTGAGGAAATCTTTCAAGAAGCAGTGGGTGATGTTGAAGCCGGAATTCGAATCAATGGAGAATCTATCAATAACATTAGATACGCGGACGACATGGTGGTTTTCGCTGACAGTTCTGAAGCTCTCCAGGAGTTAATGAACAGAATCACAGAGGTCAGTCAGAGAAACGGACTTTCACTAAACACTAAGAAAACAAAATGCATGATGATCTCTAAGAAGGAACAGCAATTTGGATAAATCAGTGTAAACGGTCAACAAATAGAAAGAGTAAAAACATACACCTACCTTGGTACGAACGTCAATGAAAATTGGGACCATTCCATAGAAATCAAATGTAGAATAGAGAAAGGAAGATGGCTAAGTTATTGAAATGTCATGATTTATCAATGCCCATAAAAATCAGGTTACTACGATGTTACATCTTTCCTGTACTGTTGTACGGAGTTGAGTCATGGACTCTCACAGACGCCACCTGCAAGAAAATTGAGGCTTTTGAAATGTGGCTTTATCGTCACATCCTGAAGATATCGTATACCGACCACGTTACTAATGAGGGTGTTCTGTTGCGAATAAAAAAAGAAAAAGAGCTCTTAACCACAATAAAAACAGCCAAAATCGAATACCTCGGTTACATCATGAGGAACAGCGAAAGATATAAACTGCTGCAACTAATCTTGCAGGGAAAATTAGAAGGAAAACGGGGACCAGGAAGGCGAAGGATTTCCTGGCTGAAAAATCTACGAACGTGGTTCAACACAACAACCACAAATATTTTTAGAGCAGCAGTGTGCAAAGTGAAGATTGCCATGATGGTTGCCAACATCCGAAACGGATAGGCACTACAAGAAGAAGAGGCAACATATGCGAAATTGGAGCCTGGAAGAAAATCAAATTTTCAGTTAAGAAAAGCAATGGTAATAGCAACCTGGAATATTCAAGGATTATTGCAACCAGGCAAACTGCATAAACTACAACGAGAAGTCGAAAGAGAGGATATAGATTTCTATGCCGAATTGGAGAGGACAAGGGCACTTCCGAACGGCAGATCATGTTGTATACATATCGGGAGCAAATAACGTAGGAAGAAATGATGTTGCAATAATTATGGTGACTAAAAAAGTTTCACAATACGTGTATGATTACCAACCGATCAATGATAGACTTATAAAAATAACCTTACTAGTATCACCAAACAAAATGTATATTCTTCAGGTCTATATGCCAACCTCAGATGCGTTTAAAATGAAGTGGAAGACCACTCATAATCATGGGCATTTTTAACGCTAAGGTAGGAGAAACGAGAAATGATAACATCCAAAATGTAGGAAACTATGGGTTAGGTATTAGAAACAGCCGAGGCAAACGTTTAATATATTTTGAAACCGCAAACAGTTTGGCCATTGAAAACACAATGTTCAAGCATCATGCCCGTTTTTTATCGACGTGGACCAGCCCAAATAGAGAATACAAGACCAAATCGACTACATATTGATTAGAAACAGATGGAAGCCACGTTTTACAAACGTAAAAAGTAGACCAAGAGCTGAATGTGGATCCGATCATAAATTGTTATGGGCATGCCCATAGATTCATCTCAAGATGAAGCTAAAAAGAACAATGCCCGCACCAAAATCAAAATAGGCTAGAGATTTCAAATTCGAAAACATTTAGAGATGCATTAAAGGAAACTAGTATGTTGAACACATAAGACAACCCAGAAGAAATGTGGAAAGGTTTCAGAAATGCCATAGAAACCTCTGTAGAAAGAACCAGAACCGACAAAAAGATCATGAAAAGAAAACACTGGATGACAGATAGAACGCTGCAACTTCTCGAAGAGCGAAGAAGAATCAAATTTCTCATATATCAAAACGACAGCAACAAAAACGCATTAGCAAGGTTAAACAGAGAAATTAACAGAGCATGTAGGGATAATAAAAATAAATATATAAATGAAGAATACAAAGAACTAGAAAGACATGCAATCCGGTATAAATCCCATGAGCTATATAACAAAGTCCGATATCTATCCAGGGAATTTATATCAATCACATAAACAATATTGAATCAAAATCAATATATAATAAATGACGAGAAAGGGATTGCAGAGGTATGGAGGTATGAAGGTATATGCAGATGATTCCCAAAATGCAAATCACGATGAGTTCACTGCAGAGAGAAAACCAAACATTCTAAAGTCAGAGGTAGAAAAAGCAATCAAAAAGTTGAAAAACAGAAAATCTGGCGCAGACCAGATCACCGCAGAAGTTTTAAAAGAGACTGGAGATGTTGGAGTAAATGTTATGCATATGATCTGCAAAAAGATTTGGGAAACCGGAGAGTGGCCCAACGACTTCATATAATACATGAAAGATTACAAGCTTTTCTATCAGAAGAACAAGCGGGATTTGTCTCAGTAAAAGGCACAAGAGAACACATCCTTAATGCCAGACAGCTAATTGAAAAAACTCGTGAATTCAATACTCATATGCTTATGTGCTTTGTGGATCACACAAAGGCCTTCGATAAAGTCAAATGGCAGCTGCTATGGTCCATACTAGCGGAAATGGGATAACCCCATCACTTAATTCAACTAATTAGAAGTCTATATGAAAATAATAAGTGCACAGTAAAAATAAACGACATCCATTCCGATCATTTAAGAACATATGCAGGTGTTTAATAGCTACAGTGAACACATTATGCGAAAGGTACTAGACGGATGGGAGGGCGGAATATAAGTAGGAGGTCAAAAAATCAATAACTTGAGATATGGTGATGACACTTTAATAATCGCGGCAAATCAAGAAGAAATGAAAGACATAATGAGATGTTTGGAGGAAAAAAGCAAAACATATGGACTAAAGCTAAGTAGGAGTAAGACAAAGATCATGATAGTAAACAGAGCTTAGAATATTCTTTAACACATTAAAGAAAATGGATGCTTTGAAGTAGTAAATAGTTTCATATACCTAATCACAAATGACGAAGGGTGTAACAGAGAAATACGTAGAAGGTTGACTATTGCTAGAACAACTATGATGAAACTGGTAGCAATTTGGAAAAATTCTAGCATAACAAAACACACAAAACTAAGGCTGGTAAGGGCGCTTTTGAAATGTGGGTATACCGCCGCATGTTGAGAATATCCTTTATTGATCATCGCACTAACGTATCGATATTAGAACAACTTAAAGTAAAGAATAGATTGCTTAAAAAATACAACAGAGATATTTACAGTATTTTGGACACATTGGCAACCACATTTCTAAAAGTTTCTCTGTCTTTTGCAACGTGGAATAATTCGTCTAAAATCATGTTTGTCCAGTCTCGAATATTTCGTAGCCATGACTTTCTCTTTCTACCTATGCACTTTTTGCCATCGATTTTACCCTGCATGATGACCTGCAGAAGACTATATTTATCATTCCCCAGTATGTGTCCAAGGTATGCAGTCTTGCGTACTTTTATTGGTCTCAACAATTTTTTGTCTCGACCCATCCTTCTCAGCACTTCCTCATTGGTGACCCTGGCAGTCCACTCAATCCAAAGTTCAAAGGCTCTAAGCTTCTTAACTGTTTGCGATTTTAACGTCCATGTTTCTACCCCGTACAATAGCTGGGACCAGACGTAACATTCAACAAACCTCACTCTCAGCGCAGTATTCAGATTTTGTCACAGAACCATTGCTTAAATTTTAAAAACGCTGCCTTGGTCATTTCTATTTATACTCTGATCTCTTGGTCTGGATCTAATTCTGTGTTGATGTAA